TTACTTTCTGACGAGAGCGGATGATCCATTCTATAGGGACGTTATTTCTTGTGATAAAGGACTTACCCCTCTATCCTTAGCCAACGAGCAATGGCAAGACCCGGCAGTACAGAGCATTTCCGACCGGGAGACCGTATGGAAGGAGAAGGAGCTCCACGGGAGGTTTTACAAGGCTCTACATGAGCCTTGCGTAGACACAATCGCCTCCCTCCACTGGCTACGTTTCGGTGACCTCTTTGGGGAAACCGAGGGTTTTGTCTGTGCGATACAGGATCAGGTTATTAAGACCAACAACTATCGGAAATACATCCTAAAGGATGGCGCCGTCGACATCTGTCGAGCTTGTCGCCATCCCGGTGAGTCACTTAGGCATGTCATCTCCGGTTGTTCGGCGCTTTCTAACTCTGAGTATTTGCACAGACACAACCTAGTAGCCAGGATTCTTCACCAGGAGCTCGCTCTGAAATACGGTCTCGTGGATCGGAAACTGCCATATTATAATTACTTGCCGGAAGCCGTGCTCGAAAATGACCGCGCCAGGCTCTACTGGGACCGGGCCATCATCACGGACAGGACTATTCTTGCGAATAAGCCTGATATTGTGCTGATGGACCGGGCACAGTCAAGGATATTTTTGGTCGACATTACCATTCCTTATGACGAGAACCTCGTGAAAGCCGAAACAGATAAGTTGACAAAATATCTGGACCTGGCTCACGAGGTGACCGACATGTGGGGTGGTCTGCCGGCCGAAATTATTCCTGTGGTCGTCTCTGCGAACGGGTTAATCCCAGTCAGCCTCTCGGGTCATCTGAGGCGACTGGGACTCGGTGACGGATCGCTCCAAGCTCAAATGCAGAAGGCGGTGCTCCTCGATACCGCCCGCATCGTCCGCCGGTTTCTTTTCCTTTCTCCCTAACCCTCGGCCGTTTGGTCTCCCCTGCCGAGGGCTTCCATCTGGTTGGGTTTTTATATATTTATGTAATTTTTATGTATTTATTTTATTTTATTGATATTTATGTAAGTTTATCATTTTCATTTGCAATTATATATTTATACAGCCCAACCAGATGAGAAAACTATACAAATACCCCATAATAATAATAAATTTATTTATTTACCAGAAACACTTAGCCAAAATACAAAAAAGTTCTGTGACTCCCACACTAGGCATGGCCTGTCTCGTGGGGGTCAAACAAAAGATTTTACAATAGAACAAAGTGGCTATTTGTCGAAATTACGTAAAACAATTGTGCGTAGCAAAGGAAAAAAAAATACGAGTATGAATGTGATGTGTTTTCCCCTGCCTTAATGTTTGATAGTAAAAGTTGTGAAGGGCGGAAGAAGCATTAGAATAGAATAAAATAAATACTGTTTCTACAGTATTTATTCATGCGGTCGTTACTGTTATATGTGTCTCTGAATAACGGAGTGAGATGTTGCGTAATAAGAAAAAAGTGTAGTTTGCAGGATTAAGAAAAGAATGCTTCGGTAGTTGGGTCATGCAGAAAGAATAAATGAGAAAAGAATGACAAAGTGATTATAGGCAAATTTATATTTCCTTGAATTGAATGGAAAAGTCGGCAAGGGATGCCCTAGATGGAAGTGTATCGACCAAATTAGCGATATATTGAAGATAGGCCAAATTATGAGCACCGTTAATCGTCGAACTAGTATACATAGATACAACATGGATATAAAGGAGGTAAGAGATGTGTATCAGAATCGTGTCAAATGGAGATTTGTAGTCTCTGCCTACCCCTTTGGGTGACAGCCGTCAAGTTTTATGTATGTATGTATGTTTACGATCCACTTATGCTTACAGAATAGGCAAGGAGACCCTGTGGTTTTTCCAGAAAATAATTACCTACTTATAGACATTTTAGGCGTACAATACTGAGTAGACAGCATTACTTCTTATTAAATGAATCGATGCAACAGTGTGCAGGTCCACCATGGCCTTCAATACCGCCGTAGGTATTGTTTTTAGGGTCCTGTGGTGGCCTTGCAGGCCAATGTCAGGAATCTTTAAGTTGGTTGTTTGTGGTGACTTAGTTGGTTTTCGTTCTTCAAACTAATACACAGTTCCTAAAAAAAATTGCCCCAAAAATCTATAGAATATCTATCACCTAAGCAGACTAGACAAAATCCAAAGTTAATTTTAAGTGTCTTAAAGTTTAGTTGACAACCTTTAAAAATTTATTAAATTTACCAGCCGTCTGCTATTGGAAGAAATACTATGTTATGCCGATATAAACAATCAACAGAAATCAAAGTGTGAAAGAGGTGGTACTCTAGAGGTGTTGTTAACTCGTAGAAGATGAAACAAAGAAGGAAAATATATTAATTTGGCACTTGGTGCACTCTAGTGATTTACGGACTAGACACTAACGGCCAATTGATGGTACAAATCCATCCAAAAATGCCAAATAAAAATCTCACAGTCTGGTGATTGAGAGTAACATTACCAATGCAAAAGTGTCCAGTAGAGAAATTAGTCGTAGATATGGCATGGTAGCTTGGCTAACCCGCTCTCACAATACAGTGTACGTGGTTACTGTTGATGTGCCAGTGTTCCTTGCTTGCTTGACTTTGCAGGAGAGACTAGGAGGTGCAGCCTCCTAAGCTGGTGCCAGTGGTCGAGAATCTAACTTAACCTGAGCTCGCTATAAAATTCAACGCACGTGCTTCTGATATGACACCTAAATTATTCGTAACTCTGGCAATATATTATATAAACTAACGCTAAAACCTTGATAAAAAACTTGCCTATTATCTCATAAGGTATACAGCGTGTTTATTTATTCAATTAACATTAAATATTTTTGATGTGTAACATCTTTCCACTGACTTCCCTGTAATCTGGGTAACTGAGTTCGTGAAAAGGGGCGGAAGTGTGTTAACATGAAGCCAAGGACGCGACAACTGTAATGCTAACTCGTTTTTTTTTAAATATAATTGTGCATTAATTGTTGCTATATATTCATTTGTGATTTTGTTTTAGATTAAGTATTTCTTAAATATACCCGAATGGAATAAATGGTACCTAATTGTACGGTATTTTGTTTGACGTGACAACGTCTTATAATTCGATGAAGCTGGCTGTACGCACGAAAAAACATGACTCATGCGGCGTTACCTCGCTCTGAGGCGTTCCATTTAAGGCTTGAAGTGCAAACGAGAGCGCGGAACGAGCGACAAAGAGGCACAATCGGCGTTGTCACGTTCAACTATCGTCACTAAACCGACTTTACAGACAACCGATTTTTTTTATTAAATATTGACGTTTTCAAGCAAAGTTTTTGTTAGTTCCTGAGGCAATGAAAAAGTGGTTGTCCAAATATTCTTTTTGAAATACAAAAAATATTTTTTGCTGTACAATAATTTATGGGATTAAATAAAATAAATAATAAAATGCATAAATAAACAAAGATAACTTGTATCTTTGGACAAAAGGCAATTTGTATTACAGCGTTAAATAGCAGCTTAATGCTGCTGTGTTTCGTATGGTGAATGCAGAGAACCGGAATTCCTTTTAACTAGAAACAAGGCATTTCGACTTAGTACTCAGAGGTGACAATACATTTGTATTTGATTCTTAATCGGGGGTAAAAGTAGATGTATATGAACCAAAGCATTGCAGTTTAAAGACCTTCTTTAAACTGTGATAGCATCCATTAAGCATCAGGAGGACTGTGTGCTCGTTTGTCACCCTCATTCTCATAAAAAAGAGTGCATTAAAAATAATTTTGATTGTCATGATATTATCACACGACGACAGCTTTTTTAACCGACTTCAAAAAGGAGGACGTTCCCAATTCGAAAGTTTGTTTGGACTATTGTTTTAGGAATTTCATATGATATCTTCGCAGATTGTTAACCGCTTTTAATGATTCTCTTTTTTATTAAATAGGCTTTATCTCAAAGGTGGTCCTATTAAATTTTGGAAAAAAAATTCCAACCCCATCGGTGGAAAATAGGGGAAAAAAATTTCATATTGGACTATCGTTTAAGGAATTTTATGTGATATCTTCTCAGATTGTGACCGATTTTAATATTTTTAATTAAATATACTTCCAGGTTAGTGCCATATAAGTTTGGAAGGAAAAAAAATTCCACCCCTAAGGGTAGCAAATAAATAATCTTTTTTGAAATTTAAGTCGGTTTTTCCTTTTTGTTAGAAGTTATGATTATTTAATTTCCTCATTCGTAAACTATTTTGCTCAAATAAAAATAAATGTAGACAAAATTAATTTATTAAAACAGTTTGTCAGTAAAGAGCTTCTGTTTATGTGAAGATTATGATTATGAATCATACCTTATTTCATATAAACGTTTACTTCATTCTTTGATAAGACCACGCAACTGGGCATCAGTCGGAATTCTGCTTTAGAAGTGTCAGTAGGTAGTATATTATATTAGTATTAGTGAATGTTTACAACTATATATTATTACTTGTTAGGTAAGAGAAACAGCAAAAAATTAGTTGAAGAATTTACCAAAATAATTGTGTTTACTTTGGTTACTTATGTGCATTTTGTTTCACTGATAACGGATGTTTCGTCGTAATAAAACAGAAGGAGTCCAAGAGTATACAAAGTTACCATTATGGGAAAACAATAATGGAGCTCTTACAACAACAGTAAGATATTTTTTGCTTTCTCATTTCATTTCATTTAAGTAATAATACTAAGAAAAAAAAATCGACTATAAAATATATTTAAATATCTAAATACCAAATAAAATGTGTTGTAAATAGTTGATTTACGTAGGATTTACGTTACGTGGAGAATACAGATTACATATAGGTTAATTCTTGGATCTGTCAACGTCAAAATGACAATGCAACGACAATTTTACGTCTTGCTTGGTCTTGTCAATTTTGTTTTGTCAAATTTGACAGTGTATTTTTGTTCGTTGGTCGCTTGTGTCGTCTTTTCAGTGACTCAGTGTAAAAAAAATGTCTTTCGAAGCTTGAGCTCCTAGACATTTTGGTAAAAATGAAAAGTAGCCCCATTCGTAAATATGAGAATTTCTCCAACGACCATCAAGGGAAGGACACCGACAAATATTCGCTAGATAGCCAAGACACCGCTAGTTTGGTGAGTCGTTTTGTTCAGATTATTGATTTTGTCTGTGTACCTTTTAAAATTATTGATTAGTAGTTTATTAAGACACGAAGTACTTACTAAAATACAGTTTTTGTAGCAGACGTGAACGATAAAGAGCAATAGCCAATTCATTAAACTCTGCTGATGTTTAAAGGATTTTACGTAGTCGTTTACCGACCTAGATTTTTCTAGTAGGATTTGGGTAACTAATAATTTTATCCATAGCGAAAACAGTTTTTGTTAGACTATGGAGGTTCGATTAACAATAATTGTTTCACACGTAAGCGATTAATAAAATCAATCTTACCTACATGTTCAACAGATTCGCGATAGTAATTGTTTCACTTTCACTAAGACACGTGATTACTTTTACTGTAACCGATAATTTGCAGTATGTTTTAATATGTGTAAAGCCCACTTTTCACTATGGGATATAATATATATTACATCTCGAGATATAAATTAATATCGCTCACCATACATTTCATATGGAACCGTTTACACTGAGCTATAATATATATTACATCTCAAGCTATAAATATTTTTTCGATCGACCGAGCAATATTTTCATATTATATTTCGCCCCCTGTACCCCACACACGGTGTACGGGGTAAAGGGGGGTAATACAATGACGAATGCACAGTGGTTAAAAGATATATCTCACAGTGTGAAAGTCAATCGCGGGATATAATTTTTATTTCGGGATATAATATATATCATATCCCATAGTGAAAAGCTAGCCTAAGGCATATATGTCCCACTGCTGGGTACAGGCTACCTCTCATTTCTGAGAGGGTTTTTAACATATAAAATGTTTCAATTTTAACTTGTAGTCAGTCATTGAAATCAATAGCTGGTTTTTTTTACCAAAAAAACAAATAAATGAAAATTAGGGGAATAGCTGTAGTATTGTTGTATTTAAATATTAATAATGATATAAATTTTTTTTCAATACACAAAACTTTTTTATTTTACATATTAGTTTATAGCATAAAGGTGTCTATCCATATTCTCACTCCATAGCATTTAATTGTTACAATAATCAAAATTTTATTAACTACAAAAGGTGGTCATATCGCTCTAAGCAATTTCTACCTGACAAACCAAATGTAAAAGCACATTGTAATTTTATATTTTGAAGGATAAGTGTAACTTGCAATATAAATAACCGAAGAAAAAAAACTAATTATTAAATAACATTTATATAAATAAATGCTTTGTGGCATTCTTTGGGGGAGGCCTATGTTCAGCAGTGGACTTGTGAAGGGCTGTAATGATGATGATGATATAAATAAACTAAATTTATCTATAATATTTAATGAACATATATAAATAAATATATATATTCACATATAAACACATTCATACATTAATACTTAAGTATATAAATATACTGCAGAGAAAATTACACAAAAAATTAATATATTAATAAAAAGAGGAAATACATATAATTTATTATTATGATGGAAAATTCAAATAAACTCCTTAAGTAGTTTTTTAAAAGTCTTTAAAGGTTGCTTGTGAAGTAAAGTATTTATTTTAAAATGAAGTTATGCTGCAACAAGTATTCAACAAGCTATACACTGAATGATGTCGATAGTGAATTGTTCCTTAAGGTACCTTGGAGATTTCAGATCAAACAGTGCACAAAAGTAACAAATGGTAAAACAACCATAAATAAAATGAGAACATCATCAATGTAGTCCAAGTCAATTAAATAGGCATTATTAAGGATAACTTAAAAACTACTGGTCAGATCTTGATTAAATTTATATGGGACCACATGAGAAGCATCAGCTTTCAATTAAAAAACAATCATCAAAATCGGTTCACTTAGAAAAAAGTTCTGAGGTAACACACATTAAAAATACATACAGTTGAATTGAGTACCTTCTCCTTTTTTGAATTCGGTTAAAAAGAGTATATGAGCATTCTGGCAAAGGGGAATCGGGAGTCGCTTGAGTGGATTTGGAAATGGGATACATCTTCATATTTATATAAACCAATATGAAGTGAATTGATAGATTCTGAAGATGCTCAAGCTTGTTTAATTGCTCCATGGTAATGTCAGGCATATATCAGCCTAGTCTAAAATAGGTAACAAAATGGAATGAGCGTACTCCTATTTAAATGGCCGGCAACACATCTGTAATTCCCTCCCTGGTGTTGCAGTTGTTCATGGGCGGCGGTAGTCACTTACCATCAGGTGACCCGCATGCTCGTTTGCCCCCTATCCTATAAAAAAAAAATAGCTAATATAATTTTGGTAGAAATGGGCAAGAAATTTCTAAGTCTCTTAAGATTTAATTTTTTAAGGTGCCCAAGACAATGTACTGTCAATATGAAAAGACTTTTCACAGCCTTGCTGTAAGGAATAGCAGAATTTTCTATACAAATAAAGGGTATGTCAAGTAATTTTTTGTAGTAGTTTGTTGCTACCTATCACTATTATATATAACATTACATCTCTAAATAACATCTCTACATAGTATAAAACAGTCTCTTCCTGCCCTCTGTACGCTAGTAGGTTATAATGTAAAAAATCAACATAATGACGAATTATTGAATTACTAAAGAGAAACAGTTGTCAAAATGTTTTTAATACCTAAAGATAAGTAATAAAAAAAAGAATATTTTACATAATTCACAATATGGTACTGTTGGAAATAATTCATATCAATTTTTAAATATTGTGGCTTTATTTGATTTTGCAATATACACACCTACAACCTTATTGCAAATAGTAGTTTATAATTAATAGTCTCAGGTTTAAATTAGTGAGAGCCATATTGGTTTAAGTAATTCACAGTATGAAATTGTTAATATGCAATTTTAAGTTTTGAGTTACCACGCCCCTGGTGGTGGAGGGAAACATAGTGAGGAAACATGCACGTCTGAATTGTTTCCAGGAGTAGGGCTTAAGGCCCCTGTAACTTTAATCTCCAACTAGCAAAATCTCCGCTCAACAGAATAACTGCTCGGGGCAAGCTGAGCAACAAGACCAAGGCGACCCCTGCCACGCTATCTGTGAATTTCTGCAACATCAGGGGACTTCACTCGAACCTAAACGCCGTCCACTACCATCTCGAGACGGCAAAGCCGGCCTTGCTCTTTCTAACCGAGATGCAGGTGTCCTCTCCGGCTGATACTTCGTATCTCTCCTACCCGGGATACAAATTGGAACACTCCTTTGTGCCTCGGGATGGAGTTTGCGTATACGTCAGAGAGGACATCAGTTCTCGACGCCCCGGCAGTATTGAAAGTTCGAACCTGTCCATCCTTTGGCTACGCGTAGATAGCGACGACCATCCGCGCATCTACGGGTGCCTCTATAGGTTCCATAGTGGTAATGCCGAAACAGACCGACTCATCGACCACGTCTAAATGGCTACAAATTCCTTGCTACAACAGGCCCCATCCGCAGAGATCGTGATTCTTGGCTATTTTAACGCCCACCACGCCGAATGGCTCGGTTCACTTTTAACCGATCATGCGGGGAGATCTGTTTATGACTTTGCCTTGGCATATGGTCTGACACAACTGGTTATATCGCCTACGCGGATTTCAGATGTGGAGGATCATACACCTTCCCTGTTGTACCTTCTGCTGACCTCTCATCCGGACGGATATCAGGTTTCCGTCGATGTCCCTTCTCGACTCTTCGGACCATTGTCTAATCCGGAGTGTGATGCCACTCACGCTGCCCTCGCGGTTACGTTCTGCAGGTTTGCGCCGTGTTTGGCATTACAGGTCGGCGGATTGGGACGGAATGCGGTTTTTCTTTGCTTCCTACCCATGGGGGCGGGTTTGCATCTCGCCGGATGATCCCAGCACTGTTGCTGACTCTGTCACTGATTTGGTGCTACTGAAGAAGAGAAGGCCAAATCGGCCTCTAAAAAGCTTGGCGTGCTCAGCAGAGCGGGACAGTATTTCATGCCGGCACAACCCCTGCAACTTTACAAGGCACAGGTTCGGCCTCACATGGAATACTGTTCCGATCTCTGGGCTGGGGCTCCCCAGTGCCAGCTCCTTCCACTTGACCGTATCCAGCGCAGAGCGGCTCGAATCGTCGACGACCGAGTCCTTTCTGATCGGCTCGATTCATTGGCGCTGCGAAGAGATATTGCATTTCTTTGCATTTTCTTTCGCATTTACCACGGGGAGTGCTCTGAGGAATTGTTCGGATTAATCCCAGCCGCCAAATGTTACGAACGCACATCGCGGCAGAACTCCCGATACCATCCGCACCATCTAGATGATTGGCGGGCCACCACGGTGCGATTTAGAAGATGTTTTCTTCCTCGCACAAGTTCCTTGTGGAATAGTTTACCACCAGCGATTTTTCCGGACCGATACGAATTAGGGTCCTTCAAGAAAAGAGCCTACTCCTTTTTAAAAGGCCGGCAACGCATCTGCAGTTTCCCTGGTGTTGCGGTTACTCATGGGCGGCGGTAGTCACTTACCATCAGGTGAGCCGCATGCTCGTGTGCGCCCTCTCCTATAAAAAAAAAAATAGAGTCCATTACTAAGTATGAGATTTGACAGCAATCATAAAATTTAGTGAAGACTGCGGCACTGTGGCTAAGAAACTTCTTTTTGACAAAGACTTTTCTTTAATCCTGAGATTATCAATAAACAATATTTTGTAATAAGATCGTAAGTCTTGTAACATACTGTAACTTTAAAAGACTAATGTCTTATTCAGTGCACAAAACATCTAATATTTAAAAGTCAATTTTTGTTTGTTCGTATTTCATGCGCTGCCAACTTATTGCTTCCTCATGTTAGCAGCGGTAAACGTTATAGGCATAGTAATATTAACTTACACTAGGTGACGCGCGTATTGTACAGCCAAATTTATTTGAAAGTTATATATCATTCTATGAATGTATTATCATTACTCATTGAACAATATAACTCTTCCAAATTTAAAACCACATTTTCACAATTATTTATTCTGCGGCATCAACGCGCCGGGTACCAGCTAGTT